ATTAGAGATTTTCAGTCGTGAGATCACAATTATGAGAACAAAAAACTGCCCTTTTTCTTTCCTCATCCTTGAGTAGAGCCCCATCTTGGAGTCCCGAGTCTATATGAGATTTAAAAAGAATATCTGCTTAGATTCAAGAGCTGAGCATTGGGAAGGTGAGGCGGGAACTTAGCTGTGGTCTAGTCTAAGACAGAATTTTTTGAAAATGTGCCTAAAGTTCTGATTGAGGAAATTCTGTACTTATCCACTCACTCAGTGGATAATTATGAAGTTCCTAATTACGTGCTCAGTTCAGAGCTTTGCTTTGGGAAACAAGGGGGACAAGACACAGCCCCTCTCATAAAGAGCTTCGGGCACCTGGGGGCTCAGAACAGGTCCCAGTGCCCTGGTGGAGATCACAGGCCAGGTGCCCGAGGAGCCGCAGCGGGAGCACGGAGCCTGGTCTCAGTCAGGGCGGGTTCCCGGAGGAGGAGGTGAGGAAGGACGGGCACCGTAGGGAGAGGGAGCAGCTCAGAGTGAGAGCGAGGTGCCGTCCTGGCATGGCAAGTAGTCTAGGAGGCTGGAGGGCAGGCGGAGGCGGAGGAAGGGTTGGGGGGGCCTGGAGACAGCGGGTTAGATCACAGGAGGCTTACTGTCGGCCATACTGGCCATCTCCCTCCTCACAGACTGTCGGGAGAGAAAAGCTTTTCTTCCCCTCTGGGTGGGGACGGGCCTCTCATGGTTCTGCTTACAGTTTGGGCTGGGCCGCTCCCTGCCTCATTGGACCCCCCTCCCTGGTCCTCCCCCGGGCCCTGCCCCACAGTCTGAGCAAGGCCTCTGTCGTCTTCCACAGCTGGACTGGGCAGCCTTCGGGGTCATGACGCTCCCCTCCATCGGGATCCCGCTGCTGCTGTGGTACTCCAGCAAGAGAAAATACGACACCCCCAAACCCAAGAAGAACTGAGGGGTGCACAGCCGCCCATCCCAAGAAATCAGGTGCTTTCCAGACTCCAAAGGGTGTCTCCGATGCAGTCTCCTCAGCCAGCTTCTCCTGGGTCCTGCCCTGCTCTCGTCCGGAGTGAAGGCCTGGGCTGAGGAGTCTGCGAGAGCCTCCTCGCTCCCCTCCCGAAGCCACACAGACGAGCATGCCGGAGCCCAGAGGGGCCGTGGGTATATCGCTGGCCGTCTGAGCTCCCGGCGCAGGAGGGGGCGTTTGGAGACTGCATGGCACCACCCCCACCTCCCGCTGTCCCCTCAGAAGTGGACAGAAGAAGAACTGGAAGCTGGGACTCGTGGAGGCTACCCAGCTCCTGCTCTGGGTTAGGGAAGTGCTTACCGATGGGTTTTCTAATAAAAACAAATGCCACACTGACTTGCCCGTTTTCTCGTCGGCTGGTGAGAGCAGGTTGTTGGAGTTCAGGCCTGAGAGCCAGGCTCCTGGGCAGGTGAGCTGAATCCTGCCTGTTACTGTGGGGGCTGTGGGTCCTGTTCCCATGGAGATACCGATCTGTTTTTGAGCACCTTGCTTCGGCTCCCCTTTCCCTCTGCTCTCACCAATCACCACATACCCCCCAGAACCTTTCCTGACTGTTCCCTCCTCTTAGCTCAAGGTCAGGATGGGAAAGTGTTCTCACGCCAGGAAGACATTCTGGTCTCATGTACTGACTTCTTTTTGTAATCCTCACTCGATATTTTCCTCCATTGATTCTAGAGGGGGGGGGGGGGCAGGTGGAGAAACATCCATGTGAGAGAGACATCAATTGGTTGTCTCCTGCACAAGCCCTGACTAGGAATCAAACCCAAGATCCCTCGGTCCCCAGGCTGTCGCTCTAAGCACTGGGAAAACTGGCCAGGTTTACTTACTGACTTCTTGGAAAGCTATCTTAGACCTGGTTCTGCTCCTTCCTCTGTTTAAGAACTAGCTTTTCTGGAGCCTCTGCTCTGAGCGCTGGCCCCGCAGCAGCACCTGGGGTGCCCCAAGCTCCGGCTGCGGAGAGGCCTGGCTCTGGCGGCAGCGGCAGGCGGTGGGGACTGTCCAGCCCAGGAATGCCGTGGTCCGAGGACAGCCTCCCAGGCAGGGGAGCCGCCAACAAACAGCCGCTTTGTTCCTGCCACCGCGTTTCCCAGTTTAGACTGTTGGGGATGGGGGGGCCGTGCTGCCCAACCGGTTTACCCTTTCCTCTGCCCGGCGGAGCCGCTGGGCCCCAGGGAGGATGAAACGGACATGGAGACAGCGGGAGGCCCCGAACGGAGTGGCCCTCCAGCAGCTCACGTCCCTCCTCCAGGAGCTGTGGCTCCGACAGCCCGGGACTGGCCAGGTGAGAGGGCGAGGCGGGACCACGACGCCGCTGCCATTGTGCTCCTGGCGGAGGCCAGGCTGCTCAGGAGGAGGCGGGACGACCATGGGTCAGAGCGGGGGGTTGAGGAGGAAAGGGAGCTAGTCCGTCCGGCGCCTATCACCTCCCTCCCGAGGTCTCGGAAGCATCAGTCTCTGGAGGAGGAAGCAGGCTGTCCCACTGCGGGTCTCCCCTGCGCACAGCGGCCCCCCTGCAGGAGGCGGTGTTGTGCGCGAGAGGACAGGCTAAGCTTCCTAACCCTGCGTCCCAGGAACCTTCCTCCTGTCTCAGCTCAGAGGCGCCCCTTTCCGAGTCGGGCAGTCTTCACCTTTCCCTGCAGAGCTCGGCACGCTGTGTCCTGGGCCTTGTCAGGATGGAGGAGACGCGGGCAGGGCGGGGGGCGCGGGCAGATGACAAGAGCAGCTTTGTGAGGGCGGTGAGTGTCTCAGGCACCTTGCAAAGGGGCCAAACCCAGATGCGTCCTCTCCGAAGGGACGCGCTTCCACTGGTGTCAGGAGGAATTCGAGCCCGCCCGTACGCAGTGGGCTCGGAGAAGGCAAAGCCTCTGAAACCGAGAGACAGACCCGGCTGGACGAGTTGGCTTTATGGTTGACCCTGTCCACGTCTGCGGTCACTGCAGGGCGGAGTGGCAGATAGCAGTCCCTTTGCTCTCGTGGGAACCGCCCTGGGAAGGCGGGGACCCGAGCTCCAGACTGCCCGCAGGTCTGCATGGCGGAGGGACGGGAAGCCCCGGTCCCCCATCCTTCCTAGAGGCTGGGGACCAAAACGGAGGGGCTCCTCCCTAAAAGCCAACACAGAGAGGAGCCCAGCTGCCAGCAGGTTCCAGATCCCACCCTGGAAACCAGCCGACTGTCCCTCCTCCCACCTCATCCGAGCTCTCAGCTGGCACCTGCTCGCCCACACACCCAGCCCTGGTACCAGGAGGAGCCAGGGGCCGGATGGCCACCTCCACACACCGGGCCGGGGGCTCCTCCTGAAGAGAGTCCGTGGGAGCCATTACCAGTGTGGCTCAGTGGGTAGAGTGTCGGTCTGTGGACTCGGGGGTCCCAGGTTCGATTTTGGTCAAGGACATGTACTTTGGTTTGCAGGGACATACCCAGTAGGGGGTGTGCAGGAGGCAGCTGATCGATGTTTCTGTCTATCCCTCTCCCTTCCTCTCTATAAAAAAATCAATTATATATATATATATATATATATATATATTATATATTTTTTTTTTTAAAGAAGAAAGTCCATGGGAAACAGTGTAAGACTTTCCAAGAAACGAGGGAATGCAGCGGCTCCGAGCGGTCGGAGCGGGACTGAGCACAGAGGGGCAGCAGGCTGGGCACCTGCCCGCCGCACCCACTGCCGCTGGCTGTCTGCCTCGGTGAGACACGCCCTCCGGAGCCTGTGTCCTCCTCTGAACAATCGCCAGACTGTCTCGTTAGCGATGTCCGAGGCCCCGCGCCGGTGAGAGGAGCAGGTGCGCCCCGTGTTCTTGCGAAGGGAGAAGGCACCCTGTTGCCCACCACGGGGCTCGGGGCCCAGCCAGGCAGGAAGCGATGCAGTTTCCACCTCTGGCAGCAGCTGCCCGCTTCCTCTCACCCGGCGCGAGGGCTTCAGAGCGAGCATGGGCCGTGGCCGCCTGCCCTAACCCTCTTACTGAAGGACAGGGGGCCGTGGCTGATCGAGGTCACGCCAGTGGCAGCGGGCTTGTTCATGGGATAGCTGCTATGGGCCGGCATCGGTGTGTCCGCATCGGCCCACTCCTCACCTGACACCGCCATGGACCCGTGAGGAAGCACAGCCAGTGCATGGCCGCTCCCAGGCCCGTAACCAGGGAGTTGGCAGAGGCAGCTCAGGTCTCCCGCCTCCAGCCGGGCTGTCCAGGAGGCTCAGGTACCTCCGTGTCTGCCCCGCCGCCCTCTGCCCCGTGGGAGGCAGAGGGTGAGTCAGGCCGCCCAGGTTTTATCAGGGAAGAGGGCGGGGGCGCGGGCCAGATACCCTGGCCTGGCATCGCCCCCAGTGCGGGGGGCGCGGGGCCACGTGGGTGCTGAGCGGCCTGGTCACCGTGTCCCTGCGGCCGAGGGGAGGGCCCTCCTCACACGGAGCTGACCCTGCGAGGGCTCCTCCCTCCATCACAGAAAGCACAATCTTTCCTCCTCTCCCCGCGCTGGAACCTGCCTCTTAAAGGGACCCGCAAGCCCTTGTGGAGCCAGATTTGAGAGAGGACAAAGGGCCTCCCTGACCCCAACAGGACCCGGCTGTTAAGTGCGTTTCCAGCTGTGCGCCTGCCTTTCCCTGCGATGTCCTCTCTCGCTCCCTCCTTCACCCCGTCCCCATGGGAGGGGGGGCGGGGGTTCCTTGGATGTCAGGTTCCCACCTACTCTCCCCTCAGGGTCACCCCGGGGGTTACCTCTGCCTGTTTCCACGTGAACCTGAGATCCGGGGCGCCCTCTGTCCGGGGAACGCTGAGGACAGGGGTCCCGGGAACCCTCAGGCCGGCACACGAGGGGTTAAAGGCCGCACACGCAGGGAGTTCGAAGGAGGGCGGGGAAGGGAAGTGCGGAGTAATAGAAGAGGCAGCTGGCCGGCTGGGCTGAGTGCCCCTCCGTCTCCTCCTGTGCAAACCTCTGGATCATGAGCCCTCCCTCTGAACGGACCACGCGAGGGGCCCTGGCATTAGGGTGCGGGACCGGGCTCTCGGCGGGCCGACCTGAAGCAGGACTTTGTCTCACCCTGAAGCCGCCCGCGGAGGGCAGGAACACGTCCCCCATCCCTGGGGTACCTCCCGAGACTGGTGAGTTTCCCTCGGTCCCGTTCTCGGGGGTCCTGTCCCTATAACACGGGCACACACACACACACACACACACACCCAGAAGCAGAGACCTTCACGCAGCCCCTGTGCCTCAGGGAGGGGAGAACAGGGCAAGCTTCTCTACCAGCCCCATGGGGGTCGTGTGTGTGTGTGTGTGTGTGTGTGTGTGTGTGACAACAACTCACACTCACACTCAAATACGTGTGTGATAAGTGATGCTAAACCCTCATCCATATTCTCAGTCGCCACAATCCTGTGGATTTTAAAACCTTGATGTCTGAATTTATCCCGGGTCCCCTTCCTCTGGTGCCTGACACTGTTCCTCTCCCGCTGGGGTTTGGGAAGTGTGGAAGGCCACCAACCCATCCCTGGAGCCAGGGAAGTCCTGATTCCAGGTCATCTATCAGGTTAGGGGCTCCCTGCTTTGCCCCCTCCTTCCAGCTGTCTCCTGGGACCTGACGGGTTAATTCCTGGGACGCAGTGGCCAAAGTCTCTTCAGGTGTGTCCCTCTGAACCTCACAGCCTCTCGCCCCACCTCTCTGGCACAGGACCCGTGACACACACCAGGAAACCGGCAGAGGAGGCGGGAGAGGACTGGCTGGTCTCTCCCTCTCTCCTGCAGGCCCACATGGCATGGGCGACCCCGGGCCCATCCCGACAGAAAGAAGGGGATTTTGCTAACCTACGTTTGGTCTGCAAACCAATTAAAAAAAAAAAAAAAGTGGGGAGAGGGCGTAGAGAAGGGGAGCCCAACACCCCAAATTCCTGACTGATTTGTGTGCCCGCCCCGTTTATCAAAGGGGCGAGTGTTGTTGAGGGTGGTTGCTTGAGATGCCTGGTTGCTGACTTAGTCGAAGGAGGTGTGAGGAGGCCAGGGGGCTGGGCTGCCAGCTCTCTAGCTTTGATCTTAGGAATTAAGTAGCGACGATAAAATCAGTAGCTCTGCTCTGCCGGCCCTGGAGCAGGTGTGTAGCTTGCAGACGTCAACCTGGACGCTGAGGTGGGCTCCAGCTTGTCCCTCGCCCTGTCCCATGAAGAGATGGCACAGGTGCCCCCCGTGGTCCTGGTGCCCAGCCCTTCGGGTCCTCTTCTCAGGCCCAACGCCGGGATGAACGAATCCTCCCCCTCTGCACCCTTCGCCTTTCCGCTGATGTTCGGCAGCGGACGGACGGGAAAGTCAGAGAAGGAAAGTGAGTTCCTTCTGCCACACGTGTCAAAACCTCCTGTGTTTCGCACAGATTAATAGAGGAACGATGTGACCAAATCAGGATGGGAGTGGGGAGAACAGAAGCTGGGGTACTGTGACCTGCTGCAGAAGGGGGTGCCCGTGCGGGGTGCAGGGTGGGGAGGAACCGTGTGTCCTGGGGCCTTCTTTATCTCAAGTTAAGAGAGGCCCCGGGGCAGCCCTCTGTGCAGACACGGTTGGATTAATGGTTTACTTTCTACAGGAAAAGAAGCAGGTAGGTTAAATTTTGAACCATCAAAGGGTTTTCAATGACCCCGTCTTCCCCCTCATCCCCTCTCCCCCGCCCCCAGGCCTGGGAGACCTGGAGGAGAGCCAGCAGGCCTCTCCCTCCCGTTCTTTATTATCCGGATGCGGGTCTGCCACAATGTGGCAGCTGCGGGCCATTTCGGATCTAAGGCCCAGACCCAGGAGCCCCCGGGCGTCCCTGGCCTCAGAGGGCCCTGGAGTTGGCAGCAGCGGTTCGATCCCCATGTTTGCTGGCAGCAAACACAGGCAGAGCCCCACCTGCCCCGTGGCCTCATTCAGATTTCTGAGATAACAGATGGAGGAGAAAGGACAAATTCAACTTCTGTGGAGCCCCCATCTAATGACTTTAAAGGTTTTTTCCCCACCCTTTGGCTGGGGTAGTGGGGGTGGGGGTGGGGTGGAGAGGGTGGGAATGAGCACAGAGATACGGCCAGATTTCTTTCAAAGCTGGAGAGAAAAGAGCCCAGGCCCTGCAGTGTGATGGTTTGCTCTGGTGGGCTCCAGGGGCGATGGAGGGAATGGGTACTTGGGGTCCTCCATGTCCCTCTGCCCCCGCGCTTGTGGCAGAACGGTGTGCAGCGAGCCTGGCTGTCTGTCTTCGATCTTTTCCCTCCTTCCTAAGACTGTGAGACCCCGTTGCTCCACATCAGGAGTCTGCAAACTCCTCCTGTGAAGACCCAGAGGGTAACTGCTTTAGGCTTTGTGGGCCACAGGGTCTCTGTCGCAAAGACAGCCGCAGACCATTATAAACGAGTGAGTGGGCGTGTCCAAAAAAAAGGGACGAACTCCAGAACTTGAATTTCATGTTAATTTTAATGTGTCACCAAGTAATGTTCTTCTTTTGATTTCCCTTCCCTCCCCCTCCCACCCCCCCCCGCCAACCATTTAAAAAGATAATGCATACAAGATAATGCAACCAATGGACACAAATCTCTGGGAAGGGAGGGTATGTATGGGAGGGGGGGCAATGTTAAAATATGTACACAGATAATAATTTAATTTAAAAAAAAGAATAAATAAATAAATAAAGATAGCAGGACAGATCTGGCCCACAGGCTGCAGTTTGTCAACCCCAGCTTGACAGCGCTTGACAGCATCGGGGGCTGCTCTGTCCTCCGTCCTCTCTGAGGAGGACAGCTTCGTCAGGGCCTCCCGGACAGAAAGGCTCTCTCTTGTTGCTCTGGTTGTGTGCCCTCGACTCCATCAGAAGTTACTTGTGATCATCAGTCCCCATCACAATTGAGACTAGTTGGCCCGTGGGTTATTCGTTCTCTTTAAAAAAAAAAAAGAAAAAGAAAAAATGTTTTTTATTTATTTTAGAGAGAGAGAGGAAGGGCAAGAGAGAGAAAGAGATACATCGTCGATCAGCTGCCTCCTGCATGTCCCCCACCAGGGGTCAAGCCTGGAACCTGGGCATGTGCCCAGACCGGGATGGAACTGGCGGCCTCTCGGCGCGTGGGGCCATGCTCAGCGACCTGAGCCACCCGACTGGCTAGGGCTGCTCTCTCTCTAAAGGGATGATGGTGGGTGACCATCCTTTAATGCCTATTCTGCTTCTGTGCTGGGCCTTCCTCTCTCCATCTCTCCATTTCTCTATGCCCTACATTCTCTCTCTGCCTTTGGAGAATAAAAACAACAACAATAGCAGCATCATTTATTACCTAAGTACCTAAATATGGCCCAAGCACAATGCTAGTCACATTACATACATTATGAATCAAGTCCGTTGACGTCTTGCAACCTAGGTATTATCATTCCCATTTTACAGAGATTCTGACGCTCAAGAACATTGCCCAGCCAGTGCGGCTCAATAGTTGAGTGCCAACCCATGCACCAAGAGGTCAGAGGTCCCATTCCTGGTCGGGACACATGCCCTGGGTTGCGGGCTAGATCCTCAGCAGGGGGCATGCAGGAAGCAGCCAATTGATGTTGATGTTTCCCTCTCATCAATGCTTCTATATCTCTCCCTCTCCCTTTCTCTCTCTCTCTCTCTAAAATCAATGATAAACAACAACATTAAGCAAGTTCCCAAGATTATGTGGCTTTTGAAGGCATCAGAACTAGTGAATCTGCTGGACTTCAACTCCACTAACACAGTGTAAATAAGTGATGGCCTCAGAGTTTGGAATAACACATGTCTCTAGTAAAATATGATAGCCAAAAAACAAACAAACAAACAAACAAACAAAACAAAAAAACACATGATAGCCGAGTCCTGTTTGGCTCAGTGGATAGAGCGTCAGTCTGCAGACTGAAAGGTCCCGGGTTCGATTCTGGTCAAGGGTATGTACCTTGGTTGCAGGCACATCCCCAGTGGGGGGTGTGCAGGAGGCAGCTGGTCGATGTTTCTCTCTCATCGATGTTTCTAGCTCTCTATCCCTCTCCTTTCCTCTCTGTAAAAAATATTTAAAAAACAACAAAATGCCGAAACTGGTTTGGCTCAGTGGATAGTGTCAGCCTGTGGACTGAAAGGTCCCAGGTTCGATTCCGGTCAAGGGCATGTACCTTAGTTGCAGGCACATCCCCAGTAGGGGGTGTGCAAGAGGCAGCTGATCAATGTTTCTCTCTCATTGATGTTTCTAACTCTCTATCCCTCTCCCTTCCTCTCTGTAAAAAAAATCAATAAAATATATATATATTTTTTAAAAATGATATGCCCCCATCTCACCAGCCAGATTCACTGATGGCTGGTGTCATCGGTGGAGGTTACACACTGGGAGGAGGGACACTGGTGGGCTGTGCCATCCAATCCAGGAGCAGGAAGACAAGTAAAAGGACTTCCTGCTTGCCTCTCCGCCCCCATCTCAGTCTTCTGGTCCCAGACCTGTTTCAGCATCTCTATCGCTCCGCTCAGCAGAAGCAATGATGTGACGTGATGTGATCACATCCGGGAGCTAAATAAAGCCATTGTGAGGCCCGGCCCTGGCGGCTCCCTGCACCATTTCCTGCGCCTGGAGGCTGGGGCTGGGAGAGAGAGTGGGTGGGAGAGGAGGGAAACCAGCACAGCCATGGGCACCCCCAGCCTGAGATTCAGAAGACGGAGGAGGACTATCGCTGGGAGGGGGCTGAGGAAAACTCTCTTTGCAGGACAGAAGGAAATGATGGGCATGATAGCATGGACAGGTGGAATTTAGGAAACAGGAAGAACTCTGAGAAATGGAATGAGGATAAGAAGGAGAAGGAGGAGGACCTCCATGGATTCCATTTTCCCAGAGGGCAGAGGCAATGAATGGAATGGCAGAGGTGCTGGGGGAAAGGGCAGGTCCTTCCGAGGAGGCCGAATCCAGTTGTTCTGAGGCAGGAAAGGAAGGGTGGCATCTCAGGACATACGGATCTCAGGATCAGATCTGTCCGTCCGTCAGCCGGGGGGTAGGGTGCCATCTCCAGCAGGTGGCATCCCCAGGAGAAAAGGAAATGAAACCACTTATAAAGGCTGGGTACAAGGGGTGTACCCCAAGCAGCGTTTCCTCTTTCATGAGGTCACTGAATGCCAGACCCAAGATTCTCACAGTGCCCACTCCGCGCCCCTCCGGGTCTGTCCTGTTCCCAGTCCCGCTCCTCTTCCTCGGGAGCACTTCCTGTTTCACACAAGACTTTTTGTGAGTCCTCTTGACCCCCCCATCGTAGCTTTGGAAACCGCTGGTTGTCAGGGTCGGTCCCTGGCCCTCAGGCTCCGTCCTGCTCCCTGCAGTTCGGCCCATCCTGTTTGCAGCAGCACCTCCGATGGCAGGAGGCCCAAGTCTGTTAACAAGGAGAGAGGCCTGGCCGGTGTGGCTCAGGGATTGAACCAAGAGGTCGCCGGTTCAATTCCCAGTCAGGGCACATGCCTGGGCTGTGGGCTCCGTCCTAGTCAGTGGGGGCCGTGCAGGAGGCAGCCAATCAATGACGTTTCTATCTCTATTTCTCTCTCTCCCTTCCCACCGTCTCTAAAAACCAATGAAAACATTAAAAACAAAACAAGGCTGAAACCGGTTTGGCTCAGTGGGTAGAGCGTCGGCCTGCGGACTGAAAGGTCCCGGTTTCAGTTCCGGTCAGGGGCATGTACCTTGGTTGCGGGCACCTCCCCAGTAGGGGATGGGGTGGTGGTGATGGGGTACAAGAGGCAGCTGATCGATGTTTCTCTCTCATAGATGTTTCTAATTCTCTCCTTCTCTCTTCCTCTCTGTAAAAAAATCAATAAAAATATGTTATAAAAATAATAAAAACAAAACAAGGAGAGAGAGGATCTCTCCCGGTGGCTGCTGAGAGGTGCCCTCTGCATTGCTTTCAGATGCTAAGACCACGGATGGGCACAGGCCTCTCCTCCGTTATCCTGAGACTCACCCCGAGCCTGCCACTGCCCAGGCCTGAGCCCTGGTCTCCTTGCTTCCCCAGGGTGGGCAGGCACATTCTCAGCGGGCCTGGGGCAGGCGGGGCCGTGGCCAGGTGGGAGGGAACATGGTCGAGGGGACAATTTCCAACCCCCTGGACTCTCCTGGGCGGGGTGGGCACTCAGATCGCCTGGAGAGGCTAGCCGCCCGCACAGACAGCTGGGGGAGGCCCTGCTCTGACTCACTGCTTCCTGGTCCTGCGGGTGCTCCCAGCACCTCAGAGTGTATGTGTGTGTCTTTGTGTGTGTGTGTGTGTGTGTGTGTGCTCCCAGCACCTCAGAGTATGTGTGTGTGTTTGTGTGTGTGTGTGTGTGTGCTCCCAGCACCTCAGTAGTGTGTGTGTGTGTGTGTGTGTGTGTGCTCCCAGCACCTCAGAGTGTGTGTGTGTGTGTGTGTGTGTGTGCTCCCAGCACCTCAGAGTGTGTGTATGTGTTTGTGTGTGTGTGTGCTCCCAGCACCTCAGTAGTGTGTGTGTGTTGCACCTCAGAGTGTGTGTATGTGTTTGTGTGTGTGTGTGCTCCCAGCACCTCAGTAGTGTGTGTGTGTGTATGTGTGTGTGTGTATGGTGGGGGGGTTTCGGGGAGGGGAGCCTGGGAGAGGGACTGGGCCCGGAGCCAGGAGCCAGGTGTGCCACCAACGGGAGCTCCCCCCCACCCCTCACCACCCTGGCTCTGGTATTTGGTCCTTCCTCCTGGAATGGGCTTATCCCTCCCAACTGCAAGGGCACCCGAGGGCTCTTATCTCCCAGACACGGAGGCGGCCCTGGCGGCAGCCCAAGGGCGGGCAGTGAGCAATGTCCACCTGGGAGAGAGAAGGAGCTGCTCGTCGGACGGTGGAGCCCTGCTCTCTGCGCTGTGCGGAGGCCATCGTGGTGTGGTTACTCCCCTGATGACCAGGCATAACCCCTCCCCCTCAGGGACCTTTTCTTCCTGCTTTTATCTGCCTGGGCGCCTCCCTCTCCAGGTTGGCACTCCACCCCTCCAAGCCCATCTCGAAGGCTGTCTACTTCCTCCTGTTTCCCTTTAAAAAAAAAAATAAATAAATAAAAATAAAAATATATATATATATATATAAAATTGATTTTTTATAGAGTGTGAGAAACACCAATGAGAGAGAAATATCTATCAGCTGCCTCCTGCACGTCTACTGGGGATGTGCCCGCAACCAAGGTACATGCCCTTGACAGGAATCGAACCTGGGACCTTTGAGTCCGCAGGCTGACGCTCTATCCACGAAGCCAAACCAGTCAGGGCCTGTTTCCCTTTTTGTGAGTCCTCCAACTGGGTACATGCACTCATTCCTTTGATGGCACAAAGCCTTTCATTACAACTTCTCTCGTGGCATCTGGCATACTCTGACCAGTCAGTCAGTGTGTACATGCGCGCACACACACACACACACACATGCACACACACACGCACGCACACGCACCCGTGCACATGTGTCACTCACTAGACTGTGAGTTCCTCGAGGACAGGAACAATATCTGTCTCTTTGCTTGGCTTGGCTTCTTGCCACAGAGGTGCTCACTAAATGGAACGGCAGAGTGGCGAGGATGGCCTTCCGAACTGGGGAGAACACCGGACTGCGAGTCAGAAAGCCCAAGCCCCCTGTCCTAACCGGTTTGGCTCAGTGGATAGAGCGTCGGCCTGCGGACTCAAAGGTCCCGGGTTCGATTCCGGTCAAGGGCATGTACCTTGGTTGCAGGCACATCCCCAGTAGGAGGTGTGCAGGAGGCAGCTGATCAATGATTCTCTCTCTTCGATGTTTCTAACTCTCTATCCCTCTCCCTTCCTCTCTGTAAAAAATCAGTAAAATATATATTTTTTAAAAATCATAAAGTATATTTAAAAAAATCAAAAAAAAGAAAGAAAGAAAGAAAGAAAGAAAGAAAGAAAGAAAGAAAGCCCAAGCCCCGGACCTGGCTCTGCAGTTGCTGCTCAGCCAGCCGCCCCCCGATGCTGTGCCTCTGGGAGGGAGGAGGGACTCGTGGCGCCAGGCCTGGCTGACTGTGACACCTTCCTAGCTCCAGGTTCCAGGGTTCTAGAACTCCGCTCACCCTTCTCCATCTTCTTGGCTCAGACTGGCCTGCGTGTGCCTTCCATGAGCAGAGACGTCCCAGAGGCGCCCCGCACGGGTGGAGACCTGGTGCCCCAGCACCGCACTCGCCGCTGCCTGTCTGCAGTTGAATCCAGAGAGCAGCTGGAGGAGGAGGAGGAGGAGGAGGAGGAGGAGGAGGAGGGAAAAAGGAAGGAGAGAGATGGCTTCCATGCGGCAGCGCTCCGAAGATCGGGGGCTTTTCGTGCCCATCACCACAGCTATGACCCCCTCAAAAGACACAGCTGGGGGCCGGACAGGGAGCACCAGGATCCTCTGAGCAGGTAAATCCCCGGGGCCTTCTTCCCTTGTCCCAGACCTTCCTCCTCCGGAGGCTTAGGACCAGGCCTTGGGGAGCCCTTGGGAAAGATGGACCCTGCCTTTCAACATGTGGCTTTCCCTGGTGTTTCTAGCTCCTTCTTTCTCCCTGGTCTCGAGGGCAGGTGGCGGTGGGAGCAGAGAAGGGGAGGTACAGGGTTGGGGTATCAGGACACTTGGTCATGTTGCTTCCATCTCCTACTTTGGATTTAAAAGAACCATACAGCCCTCATACAAACCTCTATCCACCGGTTTGGCTCAGTGGATAGAGCGTCTGCCTGGGGACTGAAAGGTCCTGGGTTCGATTCCGGTCAAGGGCATGTACCTTGGTTGTGGGCACATCCCCAGTGGGAGGTGTGCAGAAGGCAGCTGATGGATGTTTCTCTCTCATCGATGTTTCTGACTCTCTATCCCTCTCCCTTCCTCTCTGTAAAAAAAAAAAAGAATCACACAACGGTTCAGTGCTGGAAGGGACTCAGGGATCATATGGCCCCGTTTCCTCATTTTGCAGATGAGGAAACAGGCCCAGAGGACTGTGGGAGGTTTCTTGAGAGAAGTGGTTCTAGGGTCGGGCAGGGACCAGCCCCTTTCCCAAGCGGCTGCCTCCTGGCTGCCTCCTGGATGGCTCCAGGCTGAGGCCGACTCGAGATGTCTGGGGCACCTAGTGCAGCCCCGCATGAGAGCAGAGTGGGTCTGTGGGTCTGTGCAGAGGTCTGTGTGTGCCTGGCAGACCAGAAAAGAGGGACCCATCCCCTCCCCCCCCCCCCTTGGAAAATCCCTGACCACTTCCCCCCAAGCAGAGGAAGTCAGAGCGAGAAGGCCCAGGGGTCAGCATGAAGAGTGCAGGGTGAGTGGTCATTGTGAGCGCCCGCTGGCGATGGCAGGGCCCTGTCTCTCGGCCCTGGCAGTGGTTCCCTCGCACAGGTTCTCTTAGCTCCGGTGAGTACACCAACCGCTTCTAGCTCTTGGGCCAGTGAGGGGAGAGGGCCCTGCGCCTCGGGCCAGAACTGGAGCTTTGAAAAGCCTTGCCCGCAGGGCTCACGGCACTGGCCTCAGAGCAGCCTGCTGAAGGCAGAGATGCCCTGGGTACGCCTTATGTGGTGCTCGCTGAACCCCAGGCCTCCCAGGTGCCTCCTTTCGCTGCCAGGCATTAATTCTGCGCCCTGGGCAGAGAGAGAAGGGTTCTCTGGATACATCACCTCGGTGGTAGGGGCAAAAGTTGTCTTTAGAAAGCAGGCAGGCCGTGAGGATCCAGCTTGCTCTTTGCCTCCCGCGAGGGCAGTGGAGGGCAGTACTGCCTGATGACCACCAGGGGTCACCCTTGCCTGCAGCCAGCTCTGCCGCTCTGCCGAGCTGAGGGAGGCCAGATTGAGTCAGGGCTGTGCCTATGCCAACAGGAAGGGTTGGGCTGGGGGCAAGCAATAGGGCTGGGCCGAGGCAGCTTTCCTCCCTTGTGCCCATCACTGGCCGTTGGATACAGAGGGCAGTGGTGGCAATGTGTGTTTCAGGAGCAAACTGCAGGCACCGGGATGCGCTGGGGCCCAGGAGGCTGCCTCACTGCAGAGCCAAGAGGACCTGGGCACGTTTCTGGGACCGCAGCGCCAAGGTGGCCCGCCTTCCAGCGTGGTATGGACAGACACACTCCCAGGGAGCCCCCCCCCCCTCCCCTTCCCGCCCGCCCCTGCCGTTCCAGCCATCCCTCTGTGCCTCTTCTGTTCTGCCAGCTGCTGGGTCTCCCCGTGCCCAGGCACCACTCCGACCGACTGGCTCTGAATCTCCGGTCTGTGCCCCTCTGTCTGCTCCCCGTGTCTGCGTGCTGAGCACCCCGCTCTGGGTCGCCTGCCCCTGTCTCTTTTTCTCTAAGACTCTCTGTTTCTTCCTGGGCCTGCGTCTCCGTGTTGATGTAGGAATCTCCATTCCTCTCTCATGAAAAGGCCCCTGTTCCCCTAATGGTTACAACCGCTTCTCAGACTTGAAGCTGAACTTACTATCTGCGGGATGAGACGGGGTATCTGGTACCCTGAGCGACAATAGTTCTCCAGCGAGATCATCAGGAGATTACTCCATGGGAAATGTAGAGATGGCCCAGGCTCTGGCTTAAGGGAATAGGCCTGGGGGTTCTCAAACCAGCACCCACAGACCACGGAGGGTGCACTAGGGCTGTAGAGACCCCGCTAAGAGGGCCTCACAGAAATGTCTCCAGCCCCGTGACTAAGAGGCTGCCTCCCTTCCAGCTCTTCCTCCCGCTGGCCAACGGGCCCAGCCCCAGCCTCCTTTTCCGGAGCCTGTGGGGTGGGAGAGGCCGAGAGAAAGGAGCTGTTCCACGTTCAGCCGATCAGGGGAGCAGCAGGCCCAGCTCACCCCTCGCCCACTTTCCACCTTCCTTGCCTCCACGTCAAAGTGGCCTGATAGAAAAAACAGGGTTTCCGAGTCAAACTGACTCCTGGATCCTTCCTTTACCAGCTGGACGCTTTGTTTCATCTTCCCGAAAACCAGGATAACAAAAACGACCTTTTAGAGGTGTGATTCTTAGAGGACACAAAGTTGTCCAAGTGCCCAGCACAGAGGCTGGCATGCAGGAGGAGCGTGAGAAATAACAGTTTCTCTTTCCTCTTCTCTTCCCCATTCCTTCAGCCTGCTTTTCCTCTCGCCTGCCTTTCTCTCCTCCTGCCCTCTTCGCCCCTGATCGGTACGAGATGTCTTTTACCCTCGTGAGCCACAGTGGGCAGCGGGGCAATGTTTTTCTGGTGTTTTTCTCTGCCTTCCTGCTCTGATGCCCCTCCTCTCGCCATCCAATCTCTAAGCAATCCCCTTATATTTCTCCTTCTCTATATGTTTGGGGTCTTTTTGGTTCTTCCTGCAATAGCAAGTAGATATATGTTCTTCACCAAAGTCCACAGACAAAAAGTCTGAGGCGCCTTAAGCTAGACGAGGGCTTACAGATTGAGGGCCCAGGAGCCAGGTCTAAGCTCCAAAATTTGTTTTGTTTGGCCAGCCTGGCACTTACATTTTTAAACAGTCAGATGTCCTTAAATGGGACCTGCGCTCTCTCTCCAGTTTGCCAGAGTGGTTAATTCTGTCTCTTGTCTTTTTTTTTTTTTCACTTATCTTTTATTTAATTTATTTTAAAAATTTAAAAATAGCCTCAGTGTCCTTGCTTAAAAATTTCAGATAAGCCAAAACCGGTTTGGCTCAGTGGATAGAGCGTTGGTCTGCAGACTGAAAGGTCCCAGGTTCAATTCCGGTCAAGGGCATGGACAGTGGGGGGTATGTGTGCAGGAGACAGCTGATCGATAATTCTCTCTCATCGATGTTTCTTTCCTTTTTTTTTAATTGAGTTTTTACAGAGAGGAAGAGAGAGGGATAGAGAGTTAGAAACATCGATGAGAGAGAAACATTGATCAGCTGCCTCTTGCACACCCCATACTGGGGATGTGCCCGCAACCAAGGTACATACCCTTGACCGGAATTGAACCTGGGACCTTTCAGTCTGTAGGTAGACACTGTATCCACTGAGCCAAACCGGTTTCAGCTCTCATTGATGTTTCTAACTCTCTTTCCCTCTCTCTTCCTCTCTGTAAAAAATCGATAAAATATATATTTTTTAAAAAATTTTAAATATATTTTTATTGATTTCAGAGAGAAAGAGAGAGATAGAAACATCAACAGTGAGAGAGAATCATTGATCAGCTGCCTCCTGCGTGCACCACACAGGGCATTGAGCCCACAACCCGGGCATGTGCCCTGGACCAGGAATTGAACAATGACCTCCTGGTTCATAGGTGGACGCTCAACCACTGAGCTACACTGGCTGGATCATTTGTCTTTTAAATATAATATTTAAAAATGGATGCCCAGTAAATCAACCACCCATCTCAAGAACTAGAACATCGCCAATACATTTATCTTTACTTATGTCTTCCTCTCCTATTCCCTTGGCTCCCCTAGAGGCAATCACTATCTTGATTTTTTCTTTATCATTCACTTAATTTTTAAAATAGTTTTAACACAAAAACATGCATCCCTTAATATTACATTATTTTTTCTTGCTTCTGAATTTAAAAGCGATGATGTTACAGTCTACACATTTTTCTATAATTTTCATCCAACGTTCTGTTTCTGATTCTTATTCCTGTGTTGCAAAAAGTTATAGTTCATTCGTTTTCATTTCATTCTTCTGTGGATGGACATTTGGGTGATTTCCGTTCTTTGCCATTATGAAGCACATTACTATGAAATCATCACCATAATGAAAGAATGAAAAGTTTCCCACCAGAGTGGATTCTTACGCTCTTGCTGCACGTATGTGGCGTGCTAGCTGGATGTTTGGGCTTAGAGAGCACACAGGTTGTGTCTTCCAAAGGGCCAACCAGACAGGCCTCACTTGCCTCCTGCAAAGCACCAATCGCTGCGCTCTGGGAGCGCAGATGTTTTGAAGCCCTGATTGGACGGGACGTTTGCAAATCAGAAGTTCAGTGGACTTCCGATAACATCTAATATTTCACCCAGCGCCTCCGAACCAGGCCTGTAGCGATGAGGTTTCTTCACCCCGCCGGTAGAGGGCGCACCCTTTGAGTGGCTTTGGTAGCCAGCTGCTTTGCTGCGGGTCAGCTGGCGGGCAGTCTGCTTTGTAGGAGCGATGCCATCCAGCCCTCTTTACTTACCCGCCTCCTCCTTGGGGTGGAACTCTGAGAGTTAGAGGCTGCATGGACGCTAGAGAGCAAGGGCTGCAAACACCAGCTTGTCTTTCTCTTACCGATTTGTAAAAGTCCTTCATCTGTTCTGGATTTGAGTCTTTTGTCAGATATGTGTATTGTGGAATATTTTTCCCCAGTGTGCATTTTTACTTAAAAAAAAAAAAAAGTATTTTTATTGATTTCAGAGAGGAAAGGAGGAGGAGAGAGAGAGACATCAATGATGCAAGGGGATCATTGATCGACTGCCTCCTGCACACCCCACACCAGGGATGGAACCTGCAGCCTGAGCATGTGCCCTGACCAGGAATTGAACCGTGACTTCCTGGTTGATGCTTAACCACTGAGCACACTGGCCGGGCTATCAAAGATTCTTCATTCAGTCTACTGAAAAGGGACTTCTGGGTTGTTTTCTGTGATTTCTATGACAGGTTATTTGAAATTATTAAAATGTGCCTTATGGCCTGATACTTGATCCAATTTGTGATGCTCCACGTAGGCTTAGGATGAAGGCATTTCCTAATGGCTGGGCGTGTGGTTCACAAATGTTTTTATTCCTTATCGTCTTACACCCAGAGGGACCTCAGTTTTCCTCAGTCCATGTCTGGCCTCCAGGGTTGAGTCTGTCATCTCTGGAAACCATTCAGGGTGAATCTTTTCTGGGACGTTCTCTGTATTAAGGAAGCCTGGGCTTGAGCTGCATGGAGAGGTGACTAGTAACCAGCAGAAGAGCCTCCCAGTTATTTCCATGGAACAGCCTAGCTATGGGCCGTGATGGGGGAGGGGGTGGAAGGCTCGAGGCCCCGAAGATGGGCCGTGTGGTGCGGGAGAGTGAAAAGCATGGGGAGTAGCCGAAACAGGTTTGGCCCAGTGGATAGAGCGTCGGCCTGCAGACTCAAGGGTCGCGGGTTCGATTCCGGTCAAGGGCATGTACCTTGGTTGTGGGCACATCCCCAGTGGGAGGTGTGCAGGAGGCAGCTGATGGATGTTTCTCTCTCATCGATGTTTCTGACTCTCTATCCCTCTCCCTTCCTCTCTGTAAAAAGTCAATAAAATATATATTTTTAAAAAAGAAAAAGAAAAGCATGGGGAGCAGGGGAGATGGACGAAGCTCGGTCTCTGCCTGAGGATTCTCGATGTGATTCCAGGGCCAGGGTTCCTGCCGTCCACCTGCTGGCCCTTCGGACCCCTCAGCCACCGGCATGCTTTCCAAGTCTGTTTCCATGAGTGGCATCAACTGCTTCTCCGGTGGCTCAGACCCCGCTGGTGAGTCAACGCGGAGAGCCAAGCAGTGGTAGCCCCCAGGCCTGTCTCACCGCCCCTCCTCGGGGTGAGCTGTGTAGGGTTCAGCTATGTCCTGGGTTAGATCGACCATCGTTTGGAAACCCCAACATGCCTTTGTGTACACGAGAGTTTTGCATTCAGGACACCGGCGTTCTGACACCCTCCTTCCAACCGAGGCGAGCGTGGGACGCCTGAGGCTCTCCGCCCGCCTTGTCACCAGCGAGGGCGGGCAGTTAACTGCGATGCACCCGTCCTCAGGACGAGGCATTGGGAACTCGCTGGGAGCTCGCTGCGAAACCTCCGCCGCCCCTTCTCCAGGGACATGACGGAGACTCTGGGTCCTCAGCCCCCTTGTCCACAGCACCCCGTGCCCCTGGCTCCCAGGTTCTCGGGCTCTGCCCAGACCCCGCCCGCGCCCGCGCCCCGGAGCTCGCCCTGGGAATGGGGATGGCGTCACAGGCACCTGCAGCTCGGGAACCTGATCCGGGTGGAGCGGGCGGGGGCGGCCGCCCTGGACGCCTTTGTCTGGCCTCCGCCGGACACTCCTCGTCCCCTTTTGTGTTGGCAGGAAGTCTATCCCAGTCCTCCGCTGCTAACTTCAGCCAAAGGTGAGTTCGGGGGAGATTCGGAGTCCCTGGAAGGCCCGGGTGGGGGCGGGGCAACGCTGCCTAAACATTGGTCCCCTAACGTTTCCGATCGAAGACCTCCTCCAAGTACCTTCCTCCCTGAGCTGCCTAGAACTGACCGGGGAAGGCTCCGGAAGGTTCTGGGAGCCCGTGGGTTGGGGACGAAATTTAAAGAAAGAACAAGAGTATCCAGATGACAGGGTGTCCGTTAAATAAAAGAGGGTGAGGGTTCATGGTCACTGCCAGAAAGGTGAGCGGGCAGAGGGGCTGCTGGACAGTCTCAGGGAGAGACAGTGACCAAGGGCCACGAGTCCCCTTTGATGGCTCAGGCAACTGGCCGATGGGCAGTGGCTGTGGAGAGGGCCGAGGCTGAGGCACCGTTCAGGAATCCCGGCGAAGGCTGGGAGGTTTCATGGACCATGTCCATCAGCGTGCAGAATCGGCACCTGTTCATTTGGCTCCCACCGTGGCCTGCCCGGGTGGGTCAGCCAGGGCGGGCGTGAGAGCTCGCGGTGGCCCTTTAAGACGTCAGGCTGATCTGCGGTCCGAAAAGCTCTCGCTGACACATCCTCCTGGCTCCGGCTTTGGGATTAGCTCATGGGATGGGGCTGATGAAATCCCAGGAAATTCAGTCCTCATTGGCGCCAGGCCCAGAGGCCCTTTCCGAACAGAACAGCAGAGCGGGTCCTACACAGGGCTCTTTTGGAGGGAAAATGTCATCCCGAGAGGAGAGCTCCCCCCATCCCGCTTCCGCTGGGAGCAGCCCCAGGGAGAAGCTTGGGCCTGGCTGAAGGAGGAGGAGGGTCTGCGTGTATCTGGGCGGAGCCTGGAGTTCCCTCATAAATAGAGGGGCTTGGGAAACCGGCCCTGCACATCCAGAACGTCCTAGGAGGTGGGGGTGGGGGTATCTTTCCTCTGAGCCCCTCCTTTCCCTGCCTTACCCTTTTTCTGAGTCTTTCCCCTCAGATCTCCTTTCCCTTTTTCTGAGTCTTTCCCCTCAGAACTCCTTACCCTTTTTCTGAGTCTTTCACCTCAGATCTCCCCTTCCTCTCTCCTTATTATCATGGCGGCCCCTCCACCATCTCGCTGGGAGTATCTTTTCACCTCTCCCCTCTCCTTCCGCAGCTGCAGCCATCTGGAACGGGGTTCCAACACCTGGGTCGGCTCCTCCCTGAGGCGAACCTTCAGCTTCCTCTTGGGCATGACCGGCAAGGCCAAGGTAAGGCAGCTGGGGAAGCAGGCGGCCTGGGACCCACTGCCCCTCCTCCCCACCCCGGGGGACAGAGGCTGGGGCCATGTTCACGTTTTAAGGGAACACACGCTCTCTCTCCCAGCCTTCCTCTGTTTTCCCCAGGGCTGCAGCTTAGCAGCCAGCTGTGGACAGCTGGGAGAGACGGCCAAGAGCCTCAGCAGCTGCGGGGTGGACAGCCCTCCTTTCTGTAGGCCTCACACAGCTAAGAGGTGGGCAGCAGAAACCATAACCATTGGGCATGATACTTCATCTTTTAAAGTGTTTTTAATGCTTTCAGAGAGGAAAGGAGAGGGAGAGAGAGATAGAAACATCAAGAATGAGAGAGAATTCTTTTTTTAAAAAATATATATTTTATTGACTTTTTTATAGAGAGGAAGGGACAGAGATAGTTAGAAATGTCGATGAGAGAGAAACATCGACCAGCTGCCTCTTGCACACCCCCTACTAGGGATGTGCCCGCAACCAACGTACATGCCCTTGACCGGAATCGAACCCGGGACCTTTCAGTTCACAGACCGATGCTCTACCGCTGAGCCAAACCGGTTTCGGCAAGAGAGAGAATTCTTGATTGGCTGCCTCCTGCACACCCCCCCACTGGGGATGGAGCCCGCAATCCGGCATGCGCCCTTGGCTGGAATCGAACCCAGGGCCCTTCAACCTGAGGTTGATGCTCTATCCAGCCAAACCAGCTAGGTCTGCTCGTTACTTCTTCATAGAGTATTAGCATTTATGAGATTTTTAAAAACATATATATATATTATTGATTTTTTACAGAGAGAAAGGAAGAGGGATAGAGAGTTAGAAACATCGATGGGAAAGAATCATCGATCAGCCGCCTCTTGCGCACCCCCTACTCGGGATGTGCCCGCAACCAAGGTACATGCCCTTGACCAGAATCAAACCTGGGACCCTTGAGTCCGCAGGCCGACGCTCTATCCACTGAGCCAAACCGGATAGGGCTGTATATGTACTTTCCAACCAAGGCGGCCTCTGAGCATTGAGACACCCCAGAGCAGTCATCAGCTATTCACTTGGAAGAACCAGAGGAGTCTCACCCAGGCTCCTCCTGGCCCCACCCAAGGGCCAGGCCCTCTCCTCTGCCAGCCTTTTAGCCAAGATTCCCCTCCTCTGGGTGGACAGGGAAGGCGGGGACAAAGCCAGCTGTCAGCACCTTCCAGCCGCAGGCGGGAGTGGGGAGTTGAGGCTTGAGACCAAGAAATCTGAGAAGTGGGGGGGAGGGGGACCTTAAGCCTGGGGGAGGGGGGAAGGCAGGGCAGGGAGGTCTACCCTCTCCATGGGGGAGCAGAGCTCTGAAAGGACAAAGCAGACACGAGGCCTTGGGTCCGAGTCCCATTCCCACAGGTGCGGGCTCCGTGCAGGGTGTGCGTCTGCTGCAGTCGCCCTCTCCTCCTGCAGTTGTGTGCCCGCTCCTGACCGAACAGTCTGTGCGGGTTGAGTAACCGGGGGAAGGGGAATGTGGGCAGAGACTTGGGAGTCCAGACAGAGCAGGAGAGCCCAGGGTGCATGAGGACAGTGTCCCAGGGGCCTTTCCTCACCGCGGCCTCTGGTCCTGTCTCCCTCTCTGTCATCTGGTCCCCTTTCCTTCCACCCTCGTGAACGTGTGTCCGCTTCCCCGCTCCCCCGCACCTCTTCCTCCTTCCCCTTCCTCCGGCTCGGACCAGCGGCTGTGGGCAGGCTAACAGCGGGGGCGGGGCTGGAGAGAAGCTCGGTTGGACGGTCAAGCAGCCGGAGAAGGAAGTGGCTTATTTCTTCCTACTTGGCTGACAGAACGCTTTTCCAGAGGTCATCTTATTTCATTCTTCTGACGTCCTGGGAGAGATAAACATTTTAACCTCCGTTCCTCGGGCAAGATAACTTAGAGCCTGAATTGCCTCTGCTTGTCAGTAAAGCTAATGTAACTGCCTATCCCCTCTCTTCTCTTCTGCCTCTTCTGGTGGGCAGCCACTGGAGTCAGGTATGTCTTTTTTTTTTTTTTTAAATATATTTTTTATTGATTTTATACAGAGAGGAAGGGAGAGAGATAGAGTTAGAAACATCGATGAGAGAGAGTAATCGATCAGCTGCCTCTTGCACACCCCCTACTGGGGATATGCCCGCAACCAAGGTACATGCCCTTGACCGGAATCAAACCCGGGACCCTTCAGTCCCCAAGCTGACGCTCTATCCATTGAGCCAAACCGGTCCCGGCTGGAGTCAGTTATGTCTTAATCGTCCCTCCCAGAAGGCACAAGGTCCATTAATAACAAGAAGAGCAAGCGTCCCCCTGGGCACTGCGGTGCTTGGGCCCAGGTACCCCTGTGGCTCCCTCTGTTCCCTTCCTGGCCATGCCTCGGACTCTGACAACCAGGTAACCAGGTTCTCCCCTAGATGGTCTTCCCACCTGTGACACGTGGGGGACACACCTGTTAGGTTAAATGAGGTAAAGAAGATAGTGGCCACTTTTATTTATTTATTTATTTGATTGGTTTTTCTCACAGAGGAAGGGAGAGGAATAGAAAGTTTGGAACATCGATGAGAGAGTAACATTGATCAGCTGCCTCCTGCACGCCCCCTCCTGGGGATGTGCCCCCAACCAAGGTACATGCCCTTGACCGGAATCGAACCCGGGACCCTTCAGTCCGTAGGTCAACGCTCTTATCCACTGAGCCAAACCAGTTAGGGCTTATTTACTTATTTTTTGAAACATTTTTTTCTTGATTTTAGAGATGAAGGGAGAGGATGGGAGAGATAGAAACATCGATGAGAGAAAAGTCCCATTGATCGGCTGCCTCCTACCCTCCACATCGAGGATCAAGCCTGCAGCCCAGGCGTGTGTCCTGACCGGGAATGGAACGTGACCTCCCGGTTCACAGGTGGATGCTCAACCACTGAGCCATGCCGATGGGCTAAACGTAGTACATCCTTCAGCCATGGCTGCCCACTGGGGTGGGGGTCTGAGCCTGGGAGCCCCTGGACTCCTGGTTTGGGGGACCCCTAGGGCCTTTGAGGAGGTCTCCCCCCGTAGGTGCACTCCTGGGGGAATGAGCTCTCGTGCAGCGGGGAGGTCCTCTCTGCTGTCTCTCCATTCTAGAACAGGCATGGCTCCCTGCTCTCCTCTCTCTGGCCTTGGCTTTATAAGGATCCCAGCAGGGGAATGGGTGAAGCAGGAGGTGAAGGAGTTGCTAGGCAGGAGGGGAAGCGGAGGAGCCCTGTGGGCGTGGCGCTGTGGGTGAGGAGCCCAACCAGCTCCTCCAGTGGTGAGGCGGTGGAGCCCGAAATAGTGGCAGAAGCTAAAATTGGCACCTACAAGGGTGCTGCGTTGGACTTGAAACCTGCAGCCTGCCCTCCTGCCCAGCTAGCGGGTCCCAAAGCCGCCAGTCTGGGCTGGGCCTCCTCCCCCCGCCGCCCCTCACCTCCCCCCACACACACCCTTCTGGGACTAGGATTGGTCAGGACTCTGCAAACAGGGGGTGCTCTGCCACAGGGCACCCCATGCTCTGGTTCCCCCAGGAGGCGGGAGACCCGGGGAGGCAGCCATGAGCAGCAGCGGTGAGCGGGTGTAGCTGGCCAGTGGGGGAGGAACTTTCCCAGGAGCAGGACGCTCACCTCACCCAAGGTGGAGGGTGCCTCCAGGGCTCCTGCTCCCCCCCCCCCCCCCCGCGCTGCTGGAGAGCCTGGCCGTCCCCCAGCTGGCCCTGACCGGCGCCGGCTGGTTTCTGGCCTCTCGGTTCTGGCCTCACTGGCCGCAGGGAGACCTGGACACCGGGAAGGACTTCCTGAGCTTCTTAGCGCTCAGGTAGCGGACTCCTCTCCGCCTCAGGCATGTGGCAGGCGGGGAGGTGGAGGAGCAGCGGGGTCAGGGAGGCCGCAGGGGGAGGAGCCTGCAGGAGAATGCGCCCCACGCCTGCCCCTCCGGCCTCCGGAGGTGAAATCTAAGTTATCTTCACGCCCGACCGGAGGTGACTCCTTCACGCCTTCTGAGCGCCTGCCCCCCCCTCCACCCCGGCCCCCATTGTCAGGGGGGCTGTCCTCCCCAGCCTGTGTGCTTTGAAGCCCGGGAGGACCTGGTGGCCGGTCCCCTGGGGATGTGGGGGCGCAGGGAGCCCGGCCTGCAGCCCGGGAGGATGGAGGGCGGAGGGGGGTCCGGGCTGGGACAGGGCTGGGGGGGCAGGGGCGGCTCAGAGGCGGGTCTCCGGGGCCGGAGGGGGGACCCTCCACTGGTCGGGGGCCCCGCTCCTCCCCCGAGCTGCCCGGCCGGGACCGGAGCCCCGCGGCTGGCGCAGGGGGCGCCCGCCCCGCTCGCCCCGCCCCCCCTTCCTGCCCGGCGGCCGGGGGTGGAGACTGGGTTTGAGGAACTGGCGCCGGGGCCGCGAGGGGAGTCCGACTTCCTGTCCCCGGAGCGGCGCGTGCGGGGCGGCTGGTCCCCCCCAATAGCTGGACGCCCGGCCCCCGGGCCCCCTCCGCGGGGACCATGTCTCGGATCGAGTCCCTCACGCGGGCGCGCATCGACCGGAGCAAAGAGCTGGCGAGCAAGGTGGGCTGGCGACCCCTCCCCTCCGCCCCTGTCCCCCGGCACCCCAAACCCCGCCCCGGCGCACCCCCTCCTCCCCGTCTCCCCCCTCCCCCCCGTCTCCCTCCCTCCACCCCGGTCTCCGCACCCCGAAAGCCAGGAGCATCCCGGCAGGGGGCGGGGACTGGTAATTGGGGAGGGGGAGGGGGCAGGAGGCAGACCTCGATCCGCCTCCTCCGCCTCCGCCTCCACCTCCACGTCTGGGGGAGCGCGCTGGGGTTTGGGGGCGCTCGGACTCGGGGGGACCCGGTGCCGGTGGCCCCGGTCCAGCGGGCCGGTGTGCGGGGCCCACAAACAAAGTTCTCGGTAAGGGCCGGAGGGGAGGAGGGTGTGTGTCAGGGTGGGGAGGGCTCGGTGCACCCCCTCCCCGGCCCGCCCGCCGCGCTCTCGGTTCTGG